AACTAGGTCCGGCTCCCGCCCGCCTTTAGCCCATCTACGCGTGGCGTCCTCTAAGTCTCGCCGGAATCGGTGGTGGTTTTCGCATAGATCCTTCCACGGTGTCGCCATAGCAGCCAGTGCTGCAGCGGCGTCTCGCCAGTCTGCGAATCTCCTTGTTCCCCCTCGAGTTATCTCTCTGAGTATTTCACCTGGCAGGTTGGCCAGGTAGTACCCCACCAACATATCTGGAGCCACCGTCACCCCTTGAGCCACAATGTCCGCGAAACGCGCAGAGTATGCGTGGTGGTCGCCCCTCCAGACATTCTTCGCTATCATGACCTTCATCCGTTCCAGAGTAATATTACAGAACTGCTCACAGAATCGCTGTCTCAGTTGCTCCCAATCAGTTAAGGGTTCTCCAGTGCGACGCAGGTACAGCCAGAATCTCAAGGCGTCTCCTCGCAGGTATCTTTTGAGTTCTTCTCCCCACAGCCGTTCTTCTAGCCCTCTCTCGATGAAATCTAACTCTGCAAGGTCGAGGAAATCCCTGCGTACTAGGTCCGGCTCCCGCCCGCCTTTAGCCCATCTACGCGTGGCGTCCTCTAAGTCTCGCCGGAATCGGTGGTGGTTTTCGCATAGATCCTTCCACGGTGTCGCCATAGCAGCCAGTGCTGCAGCGGCGTCTCGCCAGTCTGCGAATGTCCTTGTTCCCCCTCGAGTTATCTCTCTGAGTATTTCACCTGGCAGGTTGGCCAGGTAGTACCCCACCAACATATCTGGAGCCACCGTCACCCCTTGAGCCACAATGTCCGCGAAACGCGCAGAGTATGCGTGGTGGTCGCCCCTCCAGACATTCTTCGCTATCATGACCTTCATCCGTTCCAGAGTAATATTACAGAACTGCTCACAGAATCGCTGTCTCAGTTGCTCCCAATCAGTTAAGGGTTCTCCAGTGCGACGCAGGTACAGCCAGAATCTCAAGGCGTCTCCTCGCAGGTATCTTTTGAGTTCTTCTCCCCACAGCCGTTCTTCTAGCCCTCTCTCGATGAAATCTAACTCTGCAAGGTCGAGGAAATCCCTCATGTTCTTGCCGTCCTCGTACCCGATGGACCTCTGGGAGGCCTGCACTACCCCCCGGGCCATCTGAGCGGCAAGTTCCCGCAAGAATTCGGACTGACCGGGATCCATCCAAGCTTGGTCCCCCACGGGTTCCTTACTCTCTCCAATGTCTCGGAACCAGACCCTCGGTCCCGATCGAGCCACCCCCGCGGTGGGCGGGTCGATGCAGTGATCAGGTTCCGTTCGCGGCGACTCCATAGGGTAGTCCGCGGCTTCTTCGTTTGGCTCAACTATATCGTGCATTTCGGCGTCCGGTTCAAGTGGAGGTCGTACTACTTTCCCGTTGCGTAGGTGCATGTTCTCCCCGTCCCCACTGACGGTGTGGGGTCCCCTTAGGGCTTTGAAGAAGAGGGTCTTCCCTTGTAGTCTAGCTCGAAATCCAGCCCGGAATGTTTTTAGAATCCCGGAACAGCCCCCAAATGTAGTGAACAGCCGTCCAGCACTGTTACTACGTATGGTCCCAAGACAAGCCCGACTTAGGTGAGCGCTCGGCTCTGTCGGTCGAAGGTACCTGATTAATAACTAACAGCTGTCTGAAACCTTAATCGACCTTCTTCGGTGGAGTTCATATCATTTCAAGGTGAGGAAAAACCCAGAATAATAGAACTGAGAGCTGACCCTCCCTGAGGGTCAGCGTCCGAGTCGCGTCACAGCACCAGCCTTGCGC